AGGCCTGTGTATTTGTATGTTCATAAAATTCCTGGTGTGCATCTTCTGTTAAGTGGTGCAAACAGCACTGAAAGCAATAGGAGCTTGTTCAGAGAAAGCTTATTGCATATGCTTTGATTTCTCTTTTTTGAAAGGTGATTTCACAGATTAAAAAAAAAAAAAAGGAAAAAAGAAAGGTTACTTTTCCTTGCAGCTTCCTCCAAAATGATTTGTGGAAAAATGTAGCATAAAGTTGTAGTTAAAAAGCCTTCACTGAACTAGGCCAAATGGAAAGCCTGTAAATTTGAGACTTGTATGCTATCACAAAACTACTAAGTTAAAAAAAAAAACACAAACTATAAACAATGAAAATATAATTAAAAACATACCAGGTATGGCAAAAGGGAACTTTTTAAGTGTGTGTATGACAGACTGGGGCTCTAAACAGTTAAGAAGAAAAAAGCCTTTTTGTATTTGACCTTCCTCCTAGGCTCCTGTAACCCATGCCAACGTACTGAGCCTTCTAGTATTACTTTGTTAGGCAGTAGGGTGAGAATGTGACAGTAAAACAGATGACCGGATATCCCATGCTAGTTGCACTTAATAGCAAAGTATTTTGTTTCAAATGCATGTTATGGTAAATCAGCTCTAGGTATTGCAGAACAGATCTAGCACAGATCTAGAAATAAAATGCTGTTATATAGATATGAAATGCAAGGCAATGAAGAAAGAACCAATGTCTGCCTGTCTGCTTTGATTATTTTAATATTATTCAGCCAGCAAAATAACTTGTATTAGAGAGCTTTGCTTAGATGTGTACTTACCTTTTAGATATGTTAGAAAAAGGATATACATAAATTGCTAGCTGTTCTACAGGTGTTTCCTAAAATAAGCTAAGGAGGCTCATCTCCTTTCAGCTGTATGATGCACCATACACATAAGCATACTTAACATTTTTTGGCCATCAGAGAAAGCCTCCACGTGGTATGAAAGAGCAGAACTCCATAAATTTTGATGCACAAATATTAGGGCAACTCTGCTTCTTTATGTTAACCCTCTTGGCCCAGTAGGAAAAGCATTGCTCTGCAGCACTCTGACATTGGCCTGTTTCTCTGTGGAGATGATGGAGGAATTACGACTAATTATAGAGGCAATCAAGATCAGAAAAGCCCAGTATAAATTGGGCCCAATTATCAGAGTAACACCCCCACTAACTTCAGAGCTGGGATCATATTAACCAAATCAAAGAGAGTACTTCACAAAGGACTTGTTTTTCTAACACACTCAGTGAACTCTCTTTTGTACATTCAGGTGCACATCTTCTCTTAGCTGCCTCATGTGGCAAAGAACCTGGACGCTTCCAAAGGCCAGCAGAGAAGGAACATTCTCACTGTGACTCACCTGTGTTCCTCCAATATTTTGATTCCTAGCTAAACAAAGTGATTCAGCCTAGATTCCGTTCTTACCAGCCTTGGAGATGGTCATGGCTAAGCTACAGCACTGCCATTTTTCCTTACAGAGCTAGGTATTAAGATCTGTTTGTGACAAAGTATAGTTTGCTTTTAGTTAGGAAAACAATCCTGCATGAAGAAGAAAAGACTAGTTTGTAAATATTTGCATGCAAATTCTAACATTTGTAAAATATGAAATTAATTGGAAAACATGAACATTTGCCTCTAGTCACCATGAGAAGGAGGATTTCCAAAAAAGATATTTCCAAGTTTTATAGCCACAAAGTTTGCTACCTCTACTCCTCTGCCAGCAGAACAAGATGAAAATATGAAAAAGTAATGATGGAAGCAACTAGAGGATAGAGAGCACTTAATTTTATCCTGTGTATACAATATTGCAATTGTACTACAATGCAAATTGAAATATGGTAGTTACAGGAGGTTCAGCTTACTTGCAATCAAGTAATCCTGCTCAAGTAGAAACTCTCTTTTATCCTGTTCTGAACACCTGCTAACACAACGCCATCATAAAAATGATCAATGCCACTAAGAAGTAGTATTGATTCAGCAAACATGAACTTGAAGAAGGTATTTTTCTTATTAGTGTCCTTTGAAACAGCAGATTTCAGGGAATATTTTTAGATTAGTGTTTAATTTCAAGACATACAAGAAGTACATGGATGGTATCACAAGACAGCACACACTCAGGAGAATTAATTGGATTGTATGTGTGCATCAAGACAGTACCAGTTCTAGGTACTGTTAAACAAAATGAAACAATGAGAAAGCAAACCATTTCATTCTTTTTCTGAAAGAATAATAAAAAAATATGATGAATGAAAAGGATCTTATTCCCTGCAGAAACATCTTGATATTTTTTAAATTATGATTCTTCTTCTAAAGTATTTAAATGAACAGTGGAAAAATCCAAAGAATTATAACATCAGTATCTGGAGTGAAGGAATACATCAAGCAAGCTGTAAAGCCTTTGACATGGGAAGATGCTACTTCTGCTGAGTTTTCAGAAGATGTGATTAGAGCATGCCAGTGGCCAAGAATGCAGATAATAATACTCCCTAGCAGGTGCCAGAAAGTTCAGCCTCCTAAGGGCAGAGAAGTTTGGTTCTCTGTGAATGGCTGTGAGGACCAAAATTTCTTGCATAAACAGCAGAAGGCACAAATTCATAATTTTCTTTCTTCAAAAATAAACTACTTTTTAAAAGACATATACTTAAAACTTTTCTATGAGAAAACATTTGTTAATTTAGGCAAACAGCAAAACATTACTTGCTGGTCAGATATAAACTCATTTTCATATGAAAGTCCATTCTTTGCAATGCACAGTCCAGCCAAGATGCAATGATTTATTCATCAATCATTTCACATAAATTATCATTACCCACTAATATTTAATTAGTTTAGATAAACTGAGAAAAATCTGCTAGACTCTTTTGAAAATAACAGCATTTTTATAGGAGAATAGAATTACGCCATTTAAATTTTAAACTGGATAATCTGTTGCAAATCTAGTTTAAACTAATCTCAGACAACATCTGAGATCTGCTGAATTTTCAGAGCACCACTGAATTGATTCATTATGTTCAAACTCTGCCTAAACAGCAAGATTTCTGTAGAAGACACCTGCTACCATCACAAATCCTGTCTTTAAGACCCAAGTGTAAAGGAGGATCTAGTAGTGACAATGCTCTAGAAAACTGGTATCTTGGAGCTTTGTGATTTTTCCTAAGCAGAAAGCCTGCTAATAAAATACAGTACATGAGTCTGCTCTAGAAATCCTATTGAAGTTGCTAAAAAGGTGGTGGGTGGCATGGTCTAGTGTGAAGCATCCCTGCCCATGGCAGGGGTGTTGGAACTAAATTATGTTAAGGTCCTTTCCAACCCTAACTGTTCTATGATTCTATGATTCTAAATGCTTTATTGGGCCATACATGGGGTCTTACTTGTCAATATTCCTCCTTTTCCCTTCCTTTGCAAATGAAAACATGAAACAGGATGACAAGATCAAGAGAGACAGACTAGAGGCTTAGAAAAAGTGTGTGTGTGTTGTGGGAGGGTAGGCATTCCTGGTGCACAGCCTGTGCTTGAGAAGCATATATGATGATGTGCAACATCAGGGGCAATGGATGGGGAGGTAACAGCAGAGGAGGAGTGAAATAAAGAACAGCAGAATGGGTAGAAGAGAGGCAGATCTTGAGTTCATTTATCTTCCACATCTTGCTTTAGAGTAAGGATCAGATTTAGTCAGGCTGAAACAACTCTGCAGAAAATACGTACTTTGCAAATAGATCTGTTTCCTCTGTTCTACATAAGAACCATGAGGTATTTTAATTCCATTACAAATAAAACAAGTAGATCTTTGTTAAATGACCAAACTTGACTGCAAGTTAGAGTGCCATGAAAGAAAACATGTTTGGTGAGGCGCTTATACTGCTTCTAGATGCTTAACCCGAAATGGGTGTGTGAAGGAGCTGTAATACTCGAGAAGAAACATTATTATTAATTAGTCTGCTTCAGAGTATTACAGCAGAATGTGTCTCTATTTTAGGGATAACAAAGTAGGCGGTCAGATTTTGTCCTTATAAAGGTCAACTGCGAAATGTTTTGATACACAGTAAAGGATTTTCATGTACTGGGTTAGAGCTTTACACACACATGCAAGGAGAAAGTAACACTGTTGACCATTACTGGAGAAACAGAACTTGAAATTGACTGAAACTGAAAGTTTCCCGTGTTTGATGTCTGTCCAAAATTTACTGAAAGTGGCAGTTTTCTGCGTGGTTACTGTCAGAAATGTTGAGAGCTACACTGACCCATTCACCCGCACAACTGACTGCTCTTTTCCCAGTTCGGAATGTACAATCTAAACGTTATAACCAGACAGAGGAGACAGGAACGGCAGAGACTACAGTACGATCTAGAAGTATTTATCTACCAAACGGTGATGCACGCTCATCATTAAACCTGAAAGACAAACTTTTTTTTGCAATAAGGTCCAGACGGTTAAGTGATGCTCTGGCGGTCTGTTTATCTCAGACACCACCCACACACAGCACCGCTATGTCCTTGCCGTCCGCGCACACCGCCTCCCGCGGAGAGACGCGCTGCCCTCGGGTCAGGCATCCGCGGCGGCTTTTCCCGCCGGCGGCGGGGCTGAGCCCTGCTCCCCTCACTGGAGCCCTTCGCTGGCAGCACGCGGTGCTTCTCCCTCGCACCTGAGACCTGCGGCGGCGAAGCGCCCGGTCCGGGGGCCACCCCTTCTCATCCCCGCCTGGCAGCGGAGCAGGGGTAACGGGACCTCACCGCTGGGCGAGCGCACCGCGCAGCGCCCGATTGCCATGTACCTGAGGAGGGTGAGGCACATAATTTTAAACAGAAGGAATTCACCTTTTCTTTCTCGTAAGCTGCCAACGCCGGAATGCAGTGCACTGGCAGAAGAGGGAGACTCGCTAGGCCCCGCTCTGTCCCAGCTGACTGCAGTAGCCGCGGGGCACCCCTCCACTCCGGGACACCCCGCCAGCGCCTCAGCCCCGCCGCCCCGCGTTCACTCACCTCAGCTGCCGCGGCGCGGCCCAGCCAGAGCAGGGCAAGTAGCAGCAGAAGCGGCGGCGCCAGGTGGCCGGGGCAGTCCCCGCCGGCCATCCCGCGCCCAGCGCTGCCTGCGCGGCGTTCCGCGGAGCACGGCCAGGGGCGCTGGGACTCTGCCCCCCGCCCGCCCGCGGCTTTTGGCCTGGGGGCTGCTGCTTCGCACCCTCCTCGGTGCTCCCAGCGACCTGGGGTGGGGACAGAGGCTGGGGATGGCCGGGGCGGGGCCGGCTGGGCCACCCCTCTCCTCCCCTCTCGTCTTCTCTCCTGTCCTGAACTCTTGGCTCTGTGCGTCTTTTTCCTTGGGCAACACCGGCAAGCCGCTGTCCGTCCGTCCGTCCGTCCTCAGTGGGTGTGAAGTGAGAGAGGAGCCGGGGGCTTTCCCGCCTGGGAGCTGAGGTGAGCGCTGCGGAGGGGCAGCCCCGGGCGGCGGTACCTGGCGCTCATGACAGGCCGTCCTCGCCTGGCCTCGGCGCCTGCCGGGGCCGGGCAGCTCGCTGAGGGGCCAGCCCCGTCCCAGGACAGCTGGAGGTGTCCCAGGTTACTAGGCTGTCTCCGTCTTGCACTTGCTTCTGCTGCGTCGCCGTGACCGTGAAGGCGCAGGTAGTGGGCGCCATCCGAGAGACCGCGGGGCTGCGCGGTGGGAGCTGGGACCCGTCCGGGCCAGCCACGGACACCGGCCAAGACAGGGCACGGCCTGTGCCCGCCCGAACCGGGGTCATCTGCAGCTCCCCGGCGGGAGAAGTGGTCGGTTAAACCGGGGAGGGACCGAGGCGGCACCAGGGAAAGGCGGCGGCATCCAGGGCCCTCAGCGCCATCCCGCCTCTGCCCGGGGCGAGCCCGGGCACTGACAAGAGTGTTTTCTTTTAAGCAGCGCTCTCCATCAAGTTTTTCTTGATGAGACTGCAGAGACCAAGAAGTCCCAGAAGGGACAAAGTGCTGTCCACTACATAAATGTAAATCAGTGAGAAATGTTTCTGCCCGGGCTTTTCGCATAGTTTAGCATGATATAAAAGTTTTGTGAATGAAAGTGTGATTTGCAAATTGTTGGCAGTATGTAAAGTTTAGGACATTTATGTTACTGACAAAAGCACTGCATGGTCAAGGTAACACCGCACCAAATAAAGAGCTGTTCTGAGATGGTGCAAACTTAAAAAGTATGTTGGCCAGTCTGGCCACAGTGATCTTACCTTATCTGCAGCGTTTGTGAGTGCTGGACAGGAAATCCTACGTTACAGGTTTATATTAAGCACTAGAAGCAATACAGAAAAAACAACAATATACAATAATATATGTATAGAAATCTATCCAGGACTACTCATGTGGTACAGACCTAAAGCCTTTAGTGGGTATAACGCTAACCACAGAACTTTGTAAAACAGCTTGTCTTACAGACATGAGAGTAGTGCTGGATCTCTACTAGTTTAGTACTAGCAACAGGAACACATCTCTGGAAGAGCAGAGCAATATGTTCAGTATCAAAGATCCTGTACATCATCACAGATGTTATCACCTTGTCTCTAAAATCTCAAGTATAAGTGAGAGAAAGCTGGGGTAGACAGCAATGTACAAAAGGTGGAAAATATCCCGTTTTCAAGCCAGATTGATGGTGAGCATATAGAATAGTGTCTTAGGGTTACTGCTCAACAGATGGATTTTATTTGTCAGGTTCCTAAACCTGTTGACTATAACAGTGCTACATTTTTTTACACAGGAATACTGTAATGAGGACAAAAATGAGGTCTGCAGTTGTTGTATAAGCCGTAACACCTATAAATTACAAGTACCTAAATCCACCTCTGAAATTTAACATTAGAAGAACTGGAGATAGACAGAAGGTAGCAGACACTCATTTATACAAAAGTGAAAACAAAAGGTGCAGGCTTCTATGAGAAAAGGTCAGAGGAAGCAAGACTACAGTGGAAGAAAGTGGTCAGTCCTCAGAAATAATTCAAATTTAGATGCTGAATTAACAATGAGTCTCAATAAAGAAGACAGAACTTAAAAGGAGAGCTCTTGAATACTAGGCAAAAAAAAAATATTGGAAGAAAGCAGGCAGACCACTGTTAGGAGACAGAATGAATTAGTGAATGAACAGTTAGTGAATGGACTACTGCTGTAATAGAAATATATTGAGTCAGTTTCAAATGGTGAAAACTCTGTACAGAAATTTCAAAATAAAAAGAAGCCATCAAGCTCGAAACAAATACCAGAAAATGCTAACAAGGGGGATGACACAGAAAGACACATCTTCTAAAGGAAGACCTCTTTGAGCCCAGTTTTATCCTAGTGCCACCTGTTTCATTGACCTTGAGCAGCTGGCTGCTATGTAGTACAGCCCAACCTGATAGTAGTTACGTGTTTTACAGTTAAGAAACAGCAAGTAATGTTGCATTATGAGACAATCACTTAAAAGCATATATGCCTTTAATGTGAGTTTCTAGGACAGATACATGACTTCACAGCATAGAGGTAGAATAAAAGTATGATCAGCCACTGATATTCTCTCTCCTGCTCGTTATTACCATAACTGATGGCATCCATCCAAAAAAAGTCTATGAAACCTTGATGCAGACTGTGTTGCTGATACTGTTGCAGTCTGTAGTGCCTTCAGAGAGCTACAAACTTTAGAGAGATGGTCTTACTTGACACACCAGCTGGCAAGGCAGGCTTCTGTCAAAAAGTGTACCTGCAGCTGCCTGTAGAGGTACTTTAAAAAAAGAAGAAAATTCCAAACAATCCCCCCAGAAACAAACAAAACCAAAACCAAATAAAACCAAACAAAAATTCCCACCCAAACCTAACCAACCACCTATAACAAAACAAAACAAAACAAAAAAAAAAAAACACAGAAAAGCCCCCAACACACCCCAAACAAACAAACAAAACCCAACCAAAAAACCACAAAAGAACAAAAAAACCCAAAACCAAAAGAAACCATTAGTGCATGAACAACAGAGAGTTCAACCTTAATACTAGAAAACAGTTGAAAGCTGCAACAAATTGAAGTCCAGGGTTTGTTTTTTTTTTCACTATTTGCTATTTAATGATTTTAGCTTTAATTTTGTTTCCTCAGTACTGTATGGGAAAACAAGGATAACTGTTTTCTGTTTTTATAAATAGGTAATACTTTTATGGGAAACATTAGAGTTCTATGAATTTAATAAAAAGTGCAAAATTTCATAGGACACTGTAAAAGAAAAAAATATGGCTTAAGGAAAAGGATGAAAAGAGTATGGAATATGTCCATCATGTATGAGGCAGCAGTCCTGTGGAAAACAATATATATATTCTTGTAACGAAACTGACTATCCTAATCATATGCATAAAAGAACTACATTAAAATTGAGTACACAACCCTATTTTTTATTACTGAACTGAATTCTTGACTTTGCAACTTCAGTGGCCTTGTTAAACATGATGTTGGTTTCTTTAGATGAACTGAGAATATAGTTGGGTCTGCTCTATTCTTTTTTTTTTTCAACTTGATAACTGCAGCTGTGTCTCTGCCTCAGACTATGGCTCATGTCCTGTAGTCTTATCAGAATCCCTAAGAATGAAATTGTCTTCCTTCATGTCTAGAAACTAAACATCTAGGTTATGTTATATTGCCAGCTTTTACCCCTCTGGCTTTGGAAGATTTTATGAGCTGAGGTTTGGTGGTGTTTGTCTATTCCTTTTATTCCTTTGGTGGTATTGAGTGTGTTATTATTTTATTATTGGGAGTATTAGGGTTTTTTCCTTCTTTTCCCTTATTCTCTCTTTTTCTTTTTTTTTTTTTTTTTTACAGATGGGGAACTAGGGCACAGAAAGAGACTAAGAATTTGGCAGACTATGGAGTACTGTACAGTACATGCGGGGTGTGATCTTGCAGTATGAATTGGCTGCCCTGAGGGTATTTATTTGTTAGTACACAGTAGCTTACAAAGTCTCTCCTTCAGACTGCAGGGTAAGAATATCCTCTGCATACATATAGAAGTCACTACTATTTCTAGATTAGTTCTGGTTAGAAATATGCTACACTGTCTAAATAACAGAAAACAAGACAGTAATGTTTCAGGAACTGTTCACTCGTTTGCTTTACAAAGAAAAGATAGCTGGTTTTTGAACAGCTATCAGAGAGCAGGGAGGTCACGTCTTTGCTCCCTTCTCAGTAACTGATAGTCTTTGCTTACTCAGGAAAGTAAAGAAAGTTCTTCTTCAAAGAAGAACTTCTCCAAAGAAAACGAACCCCTGTCAGTTCACTCTAGTTAGTGTTCAGTCTCCTCAAAATTAACCTCCCCACATCTGGGGAAAAAAATAAAATCCTGTGATAATCTGTGCTAGCCTGGGAAAAGCCTCTTAAGCCCTCAGTTTGAAATAACCATTGTGAATCATTTGCCAGATATGCCTTATTCCAAAGGATTACACCTTTTTTCTATTTGGGAGATGTAAAAGTTTGCACAGGAGCAGGCCATTCCTCTGGATTTGTGAAGCTTTGAGCTTACACAAGGTTTTGTGCACCACGTTTCCTCACAAAACTCCATATATGCTATTAGACCTAAGTCAGAGGTCACAGATGCACTGTGTAGTTAATTTATGTATGCGAAATTCGATTGGCTGGGATTGTAGAGGCCTCTGGTCAGTCTTACACTTAGGGCTTCCAGCTTTCTAAATCCTGGCAAAAGCTGTTGAAAAATGTTCTAAAAATAAAGCTAATAATTTCTAGGTAACATTTCCAAGGATTGTCATCTATCCGTGCATATGGATAGAAATCTTGAGCTGAAAATACAAATGGCTTCATTCTGCATTCAGAGTAGTCCTCCTTTCCTCAGATGTACACATAGACACTTGTCCAGCCCAGTTTGCAGAAGATACTTCTAAGTATCTAATAATGCAAGACACAATTTGTTGATTATTTCAAACACCGAATGAAGACTATCTTTTTTCTAGGCTGAAATCTTGTACCCTTTTATGTTTCTCTGTACTTTCATATATAGTTCCCTTGAAATAATTGGATTGCTGATAAAATGTGGCCTGAATAGGAGTTATATAATGTGTGCCAATGTAGAGCTGTGCTGTGTGACATATTTAAATGGTTAAGACATATTTTAGTTATATTAAGTATTCATGTTTGTACATCAGATGTTTATTTTAATATAAACAGGTTCAGAGGAGAAAACAACAGTATGGAACAGTGTTTATAGACCATACACAAACAGAAGGAAAGAGAAGACCTGTTAAAAAAAAAAATCAAAGAAAGAAAAGTGCTGCACATACAGATCCTCAATCAGCG